CATTCCATGCTCTTTGTACGCTGCAAAATTTTGGGTGAAAATGATGCAGCACTCGGAGAAAACGCGGAAGTCGCCCCGGTTAACAATTTTCTTCACTCACTGTGGAGCCAGCTGGACGTAAATCTAAATGGAAAATTGGTGTCTCAATCAAGCCAAACATATGCCTACCGGAGTTATCTCTCAAATCTTCTAAGTTATGATCGTGGTGCTAAAAAATCGCACTTGACGGCCGGAATGTTTTACGCAGATTCTGCTGCCCATATGGATAGTTTTGACAACGCAAATTCGGGTTACACTGTTCGAAAAACACTCTCCGCTAGAAGCAGAAGTTTTGAACTTATTGGCCCGATACACGCAGACATTTTTAGCCAGGACCGCTTTCTTCTCAACAATGTGCAGATGAATTTAAAATTCACTAAAAACAAAGATGCTTTTATGATAATGTCGAGGACTGCAAAAGAGAAGGTAAAACTACTCGACGTGCGCCTTATAATAAGAAAAGTAAAAATACAGCCTGAAATATTATTGGCGCATACAAAGGCACTAGAAGTCGCACCAGCGCGCTACCCAATTACTAGAACAGAAGTCAAATCATATGCAATCTCGGCAGGGCTGCAATCAAAAACTATTGATTATCTGCATACGGGTACAGTCCCACGTCGTGTTATAATAGGTTTTGTTACTAATAAAGCATACAACGGGGACTATGCTTTAAATCCATTTCACCTCCAACATTTTAATTTAAATTATTTGACTCTCCATGTGGACGCCCTGCAAGTGCCTAGCAAACCTTTAACTCCTGACTTTAAGCAGAATAATTACGTAGAAGCTTACTATACACTTTTTAGCGGGAGCGGAATACACTTTTCAGATCATGGAAATTCCATAGACCTTATGGATTACGCCATGGGGTACACGCTTTACTTGCTAGACCTGACGCCGTGTCTGTCGGCAAGCCAGGACTATTGGGACTTGCAAAAACAGTCGAACATGCGCCTAGAATTACGATTTGACGACCCGCTCCGAGAAGGTATAAATTGCATCGTTCTCTCTGAATTTGATAATTTGATACAAATCGACCGTCAGAGATCGGTCATTGTTGACTATTCAACATAAAGAATGGACGGCTACACTGTGCAAGCTATTTTGAAAGGCGAACCACACTTGGCGCCGCACTTCGTCGGCGTTTTCGCAGCGGACACGCTGCCGCGACGCCTAACCTCTTTTCCTGCGCTACTGGTCGCCAACACACACTGCAGCCACCTGCCCGGAGAGCACTGGGTCGCTATATATATAACCTGCGACAAACGAGGGGAATACTTTGATAGCTATGGGCGCTCCCCGATGGTGCAATCACACGAGCAGTTTATGCGCCGAAATTGTATAAGTTGGCGTTTCAACTCGACGTGCCTGCAGTCCATCGGGAGCACAGTGTGTGGGCATTATTCTGTTACATACCTCCTGCATCGCGCACACTTTTTTACGCTTGCCGAATTTGTAACAGATTTTTTTTCTTCGGATACGAAAGAGAATGACCGCATTGTTGTTGAATTGTTAAAACATTATACCAAGCGCGTCAAATATTGTAAAAATTTTCCACCTGTAAATCAAGTGTGCTGCGCACGCCGCTCATGAAAGTGTTGTAAATAAACACTTTATTTATAAAAAACAACTTTGTGCGCTCTTTTACCCCTCCTCCATAGCCTTCTCCCACCACGTACCCTCTCCCACCTACGCAACTCAGAAAAAGGGGGGGATACATCTCCCAGTATAAGAACCGGCGCAGAGAGGCGCGGCGAAGCATTCGTGCACCAGCCATGGCGCTGCACAGAGCAACCGCACGAGCCGTGACACTGAACACGAGCAGCGGGAAGAGGGCCGTATTCGGCGCAAGTGGGCTCGAGATATGGAAGCACGAAGAGCTCCAAGATATTTTCACCCCAGAAGAGCTTCAAACATTTTTGCGGGAAGACCCCCTTTTAGGAGGGAAAATCACTGCACATCTCAACAGCGCACGAGACATGACAGGCGCTGCAGTCCTCCTTGATTCACATGATATACTTTTCATTGCACTGAGAGACAAGCCGTTTATCTTAATTGAGAGGACCAGCTTTACGGAAAATAGCGCTGGCGTACCCCTATTCAAACAAACATACATTGGGCAGACCGCATGGGCGAGCCTCTGCAACGCGCAAGATGAGATCCTCAAAGCGTACGGCGCACGTTTTTCACCGAGAGCTTAGGCCACCCTTCCAGCCTGCGAAAGCGTGGAGAAGCCTAGCGCCAACTTAGGCAGCCACACTGCCACGCAGCGCAATTGGGTGGCCTACTCCCCCGCATCCAGGCGCGCGCCGCCCCTGGCTCGCAGGCGACACCTTCGGGAGAACGCCGCCAGGGGGCGGCAGCAGCACTCAGCCACGCCCCCGCACGGCAGCGTAGTGAGGCCATCTCCACCCCACCACCGCGCCACCCCCACCGCTCAAGCGACAGTTCAGCGGATAGCCACCGACATTCTGCACAACGAGGACCCAAGAGTCCTGATAGCGCAGTGGTACCGCGCACGTTCACGGCGCCGGAGGCGCGGGTTCGAATCCAAACCACGTCAGGACCCAGCCTTTTTTCACGAAGCGGGAATGGCTGACAAGGATACACAGTCAGAAACTTCACACGAGAACGTGAGGGTAACATACAGACGGACACTGCAAAAAATCGCTAAGAAAAACTGTACACGGCAAAAAAGGTAACGGCGCAAGCGCTCCCCTCCCTCCCCCTCCCTCCGTGGGGTAACGCCCCAAACCCTCCCCCTCCCCTCCCCCAGGGTAACGCTTGTAACCCCCCCCCCCCCCCCCCCCTCCCCCCTCCCCCAGGGTAACGCCGGTACGGTAGTACTACTCAGGGAGAGGCGCTCGCACGGGATCCGGTGCACTCACACGAGATCCAGAGAGAGCCGCACTGGATCCGGAGAAGTCTGACGGCACTCTAAGTGTCTTACGAAGAAATTTCCCATATTACGAAGGAAATGGCGCAAGCAGACTCCAGTGGGACTAGTGAAGATAACCTTTCACATGTAAACAGGGAGAACCTAGTGCTCAACCTGCAGCATAAAACGTTTTCATGTCTTGTTAATTTACTGCCAGTGTTTCCTACAGTAATTGAGTCGCGTACACTGTTAAAGGCCGTAGGAGCGCAATTTTTTTTCACTAATTGATAGTGATCGACGTGGTAACCCACCATGTCATACTGCCCAGGTGATTTTATTTTTTATAAAATTTTATAAAGGTTCTTATAAACATTTATAAATGTTTATTAACTTTTAATTAAAATGTACAAACTTGTATTAAAATTTATAAGGGACCCTGTATAAACCTTTATAAAACCCTGTATTAACTTTTATAAAACCCTTTATAAAACTTTATACACACCTGTATGAAACAAAACTTAAGTTTCTGAGTTCACTTTTAACAGAGCAACGAAAACAGACTTTTTAGCTACAAAGAAATAATCAGTACTTCGCAAAAAATGTTTTGTCAACACTGCAAATCTATCGGTCTGACTTCGTGCCGCTGCAGGGGCGTGAATAAAGTGACATGCTAAAAAACGGCATGACAGAAAAGTCACGCCAAAAATCGGCGTCACTCAAAAATTCACGCCAATTTTCGTTGTGAATTTCTTGTCATGCCTCATGCTAGTTTTTGGCATGACTTGTCTCTTTAAACGCGTTGTCATTCACGCCAAATGACGGCGTGACTCACAATGTCATGCCGTATGCCGTCATGCCGTGACTCCGCAACTTTACCCCTCAAAATTGAGAAAATTGGCCGTCGCAATGGAAAAACGGCCGTTGCGCGTTGTTCTTTATTCCATTGTGAGCAAAATCTTAAATGGTGACGTTTGTATGAGTTGTACTTGTGCCCCTTTTGGACTGCTAAAAAATGTCCACCGTGTGTCAACTAAACCAGTGCTCACACCAAAAAAAGACGCTTAAGCCGCATTTCTTCAGTGTTTCATGTGTGGTAACTCTTCGTGCCGAAAGTTTTACTCCTCTCGCATGAGAAAATCGGTGGGGAAGACGTTTGCAACGCATCATTGATTGACGGCACACCCAAGTATCTGACAAAACGGTGGGTTGTAAAAACGATGTAAAATTCCGTATTGGCTACCACAGCGTAAGCTAGGTGAGAGAATAAACCAGTCGTAGCGTGGAAAGTTGTGTTCTTGGATAGGGAAAACGGGGCCGTGAAGGTATTGAACTTTTAGAAAGGAACATTCCGTTGGACGCCTAAAATCTTCACTTTGTAATTTTCCGTCCTTTGTAAATTCCGGCATCGTCTTCGCTCGTTTGACCTCTATTATACTCCAAGGACCTACCAATGCATTCTTTGATGAAAAAAACCAACAAAAGGTCATTTTGATCCATTTCGAGCAATGTAGTCAAAGCTGAATTTGACCTTGAACTTCAATTAATCTTAAAATATCCGGTTATTTTGGCACGCTGCCTCTCTAAGACGGTTAGAGCTAGAGGGTTGAAATTTTTCAAATTCGTTATGGTCAAGACATGTGTGATGCACACCAAATTTGAACGTGCTAGCTCGAAAGGAGGCGCCCTGGTAAGTGGTGTGTAATTTTTCGTCATCACGCTATAACATTGGTTAAAAAAAATGTTTGTATTTTTGTCTGTTGAAAAACCAAATTCAAAATCATTCTTTTTGCATGCCCGTGGTACAGACCATGGCCACATGTGAGAAATTTTCAGATCCCATGCCGTGCTCGAGGCTCAATCCAGAGAGGCGGAATCGTGGCAGGAGTGAAGCAAGGTCGCAGAAAAATGAAGTGCACTGGCGCGCGCGTTTTTTCGTGTTATTTTATGGCTTCGACTCGAATCGGATTCGAAGAACGAACAGACATAACATTTGATTCGAGTAGAAAAATAAAACTTTGAAAAATGCCACTTTGCACACCACTACACAGCTAATGCGTTTGACGCAATCCTATCAGCTCTTCGTGAGTGACGCTGGTGGAGTCGTGTCACTCGTGCATCCACGAAGTGCGCGTCTTTCGGGCGGGGTGCTTTATAAGGGGAGAATTGGGTTGTGCTGGCATATTGCACAGGATGGTCAGGGTCTGCGTTCTTCTGCTGTGCGCCGTCACCCTCTGGGCTGTAAGTTGTACAAATAAGGGGGTCAACTCGAGAGTGTCACGCCAAACATAAAATTTCAGCTTTTTATCGCAACCGATTCGACAGGGAAAAAAAACGCGGCAGAGGACGACAGCTGTTAAAGGGAGTTTCAGGTAAAAATATCACTCGCTTCAAAATAGATCGCACTGTAAAATTAAAAGAAAAAACTGATATCTTACCAAGCGAGCGCCGCAGGTGAAGATACGGGTAAAAGCCTGACGCGAATTGCTGAAACTGGAGCAGCATTGCGAAGCTAGGTTGCGACAGAACGCGGTCTGGCGCCCACCCAACACTACAGGAAATAACCACAACAAAAGTACACAGATTTCTGGCAAATTTTTTATCAGGAATTTAGTGTACTTTTCAAGTACAACAATTGTTGTACAAAGTACAATGGAACCGGCATGACGAGTGCTGTGCAGTCCAGGGCTCGTTGTGGTTTGTACAATTCTCGTTGCACTTTCTACAATCCCTGTTGTACTTTTGTTGTACTATCCACACTTTTTCTTGCAGTGAAGGTTTTTTTCTATCCGTGTGTCTGTCTGTCTGTTTGCACACCAAAATGCAGCTTTGTATCTAAATAAGTTCGGTCATTACAGCAAAAAAAGGCACTTAAAACGTCAGATAAAGTAAACGTCTTCATAACTTTTGTTCTCCGGCCAAGGTTTACACCATTTCATAAGTTTTAAGAGGAAGCTGATGAGGAAATGGAATTCATTTTCACTTCGGTACCAGGTGCCCTTTCCCAAAAAAGGGCATAATAGCTCCAGATTTTCGAGGTTGCCTTCCCAAAGATGTCAGGCAGTTTGAACAGCGAACCCTGTCACACCTTACTTGAGAGGGGGGTCAGCCCTCCAGCTTAAATGTCAAAACCGAATGCCTTTGCGACTTGCGATCATCACTGAGAATAAAAGGGTCACGATCATGACTAAATTTTGGGCGAGGAATTTTTTACTACCCAAATTTGGGTGAGGAAATTTTCCTCGCCCAATTTGGGTGAGGAAATTTTCCTCGCCCAAATTTGGGTGGGGAAAGTTTCCTCACCCAAATTTGGATCATAATCCTATGGTGCTATATAGGGAGCTGATACACCCTTCCTCCCCCAAAAATTGGGCGAGGAAGCTTTCCTCGCCCAAATTGGGCGGGGAAAACATTCCTCGCCCAAATTTGGGTGAGAAAGTAAACCTCGCCCAAAATTGGGTATTGATCATGACTTTTTCATTCTCAGTGATGTCTCTTCGAGGGCCGTGGAAAAAGGGGCTTGCCGAGGGCAGGGCAGGGCCGCAGGCAAAGGTAGGAGTGAAGGCCAGGCGTGGATTGTGGGAACTGGCGCAGCATCGCGAAGCCTGTGACGACACGAAAGGTCATACTTTTGACCGCTTAAACGGTCTTACTTCGATGTATGACCGAAAAACGGTCATACTTTATAGTGTATCACGGGTAAAGGCTGATATATCTCTAAGCTAAACAATAGCCAGTCTCGGTGATGTCTGACCTTTATTTTGGTCATACATTTAAGTATGACCGTTTTTTCGGTCATACATTTGTGTATGACCGTTTTTTGGTCATACTTTTTGCATCACCGAAAATCGGTCAGATGTCTCCCCTTTAAATTTTTAGTGAGCATGTCATTGACTTTTTGATCATTTTGTCAGTACTTATGCAAGTAATTGTACAACCCTACTACGTACGTTTCCTTTTGTAAAGAAATACTTAAGAAGTATTAAAAAATGTACTAAAAATTTTGTTTAGAACCTAATTTTACAAAGGGAAAATATGTCAACCTAAAAGTGCTAAGTATTAATGCCGTTTACGAATACGTAATAAGTGGGGAAAAAGTCAGTAACGTGCTGAGAGTGTATCTGCCGTACACCTACCTTGTCTTAGCTATGTAATGCTGGTTCCGTTTTTTTTTTTTTGGTGATTCTTCTTGATCTCAACCCGGCGCCCTAGAATTCTTTTATGGTGGTGGAGCCGGCCACCTGTTTTTCTCTTCAAGTCTCCCGGGAAAAAAAACAAGCTAGGGCCCGCCCTTCCGTCGAACCGAGTTGCCAGCTCCGCTTCACTGCGCCGGCAACTCGGTTCGACGGGGGGCCGGCCCAGCTTGGCCTGCCGGCGGCCTTTTCTCGGGCCTTGGGCCCCTCGCATCAGACCCAACTTGGCCAGTCGAAGGCCCGGGCCTTCGGCCCGCTCGCATCACACACACCTGAGGGGGAAAAGCAAAGTTATCGATGTACCATCGTGACTTAGGCCCCCCTTCTATTCACAATATGCAATAGCCCCTTACACTTTTTACCCCAAACTGTCCTTAGAATATGCCCATTTCATTTGTCTCTTCGCCCTCATTCTGAAAATACCCATATTTGCCATGCTACTGCAACTCCTTGCAATAGAGGCACAGCAGGAGCGCAAAACGAGTCCGTCGCACTTTTTCCCAAACTCATGAAGGCGGGCTCCTGGACCCCCCTTCCGACCCCTCGTTGAAGAGGTCTTGCCACGACCTATCCAAAACTTAAGAAAAAATTTTCAGTCGGTCGGCCCCCTTTTTTCACGGTCCTGATGTGACTAATAGACGAAGTCGGGCTCCTGGACCCCCTTTCCGACCCCTCGTTGAAAAGGTCTTGCTTAGACCAATCGAAATCTGCAAAAAAATTTTTTAGTCGGTCGCCCCCCTTTTTTTTGAAGATCCTGATCTGGCCAACTTGTAAAAGCGGCCGAGGGGGTCGGGACCAGGTCCATTCATCTTGTCTCGTCGCCCCGATTCCAAAAATCCCCCTATGTGCCCTGCTAGCACCAATAATGACGGAAATCCCCCCCCCGCTCATGTAAACCATGATGCACCTGCAGCAGCCCTTGTGCGACCCGGACGGGATTTGCACCCCCGGGATTATTTGTTTGGACGGTACTCCTGAAGTACCCTCCAAATCTGGTTACTCTAGCTCAACTCCTTCCTTGTACACAGACGCCAACAACAAAACAACAACAACAACAACAACACAACAAAAACAAAAGACACAAAGGCAAATGCATAGGCCCTCCCCCTATTTTTTGAATAGAAGGGCGGGCCAACAACAACAACAACAAAAACAAAAAGACACAAAGGCAAATGCATAGGCCCTCCCCCTATTTTTTGAATAGAAGGGCGGGCCAAAAAGGATTTGGGTGTCAGTGGACACACATGCATCTCAAAAGCCGAGGTGCTTTCGTCCCCCCGCAGCATTTGAAACCCTCTTCGCTTACACCCCCTTTAAACTTCAAAAATTTGAATATTAACAAGAGGAAACTCCGACTAATTCTTCAGATTGTAGTTCTCTGTTGCCCTAGGTTCAGACTTTGCTTTCGAGTTTTGTTGCTATAAAAAATACATTTATTTTGTGTTTTGGGGACTGTGTTTCAGTTGTGCCCAGAGTCCTCGGCGCACCCTGCCCCAACCGGCATCGAAGTCAACTCGGGTAGCAGGGACAAGCGAAATCCAGATGCCGGCACCGAAGTCAACGCGGCCCGTAGAGACAAGCGCAGTCCGCCAGGACGAAGGGCGCCCCCCTTTATCCGAACCCCAACCCCAGGCCCACCCTCGGCGCACTGCGTCCTAAGGGTGCACCTTGGAAAAGGACCGGAAAACCTGGCGGCCTTAAAGAACCTGACCCAAGGATCCCCAAAGGGGAAAAGGGAAAAGACTCTGCCGCCCGGGGGTCGCTGATTTTTTTCCCTTTTTTGCTACGTGTGCTCCCCGAAATAAATAAATTTGGAGTGCCCCTGGAACGGATAGAGAATCTTTTGCATTAAGGTGCACGTTCTTCACTTTAAAAAGAAATAGCAGAATCCGTAGTGGTCTGTGACTCTCAAACTTCAGAAATCGACAGAATGGATATGTCACACACATGCAAGCATTACACGCGATGTCCCACACTGAAAGCGTGGAGCCCGTGGAATTGAACCACAGGGAACCATAGGCAGCGGCCAAAGCGTGTCTCAAACTTCCAAGCGTTGGAAAAGCCGTGTCTGACACGAAAAGGTTGTGGCGCCGCACACTTGGAAGCGTGCGTCATTGACGCCAAAAAGTGTGAGAGTGCCTCACACGTGTATACCCAGTGTACTAGTAAACGCACTGTCAAACCAAGCGGGAAAAACTGCGCTGTGCACCCATTCCGCTTACACGAGTTTTAAGTCATCACGCAAAATCTCGACAAATTGCTGCCACCGTGCGACCGCGGCGGAGATGGCGAGCGCCTGCGAAGTCCAGTGTAGGCAAACCTCGTGGCTACAACGCAACGGAGCGCAGCGGCACGGCCTACCTCCCAGGCGCTTGCCGCTGCACTGCCAAACCAAGTGTGGAATTCCGCACTTGCTGGTGCATCTCTAGCAGGCGGGCCCAGAAACAAGTATTTGTATTTCCCATTATATGTATCATTTTCAACATTCACTGTTTAAAAATCTGAAAATTCAGACAAATTGTCAGACTTGGGGGTCACAATCTATTTTCAGACTTGTTTCAGACTGTTTGTCTGAAAATTTAGCCTTTCGGTATGAAAATTGCGACCTGACCGTCTCAGACCTTGAACAGGGTACTTCGGAGGAAACCTAGACCGGAAGTCAGCGACACAACCGGAGACACAAAAAATCGACGGACAAAACCGAACCGGACATTTATCAGCGGACATTTCTTCACTGTACCGGGCTGGCGGAGCAATTCGATTGTGACCGACTCAGTTGCACTTTTGCTATCATATTGGTACCGATCGATTCGTCTTGAGACGCTCTAACGATCTGCTCACGTATTTTAGTGTACAGGTTAGTGTATCATGAAAAAATGACAAAAAGTGTTCAAAAACTTATGTTTACGCCATCAGTTCCCATTTGAAAACAAAGTCTAGGTCAAAATTAGGTAAGCAGAACTAACAGGGTACTTCCAAAACCAAAATTACCAAAAAAACCGTAAAAAAATATAAGTTTTGACTCAAAATTATTTATTTTAAACAAATTCTTAAAAACCGTCGCACCGTGGGCTCGCTCAAGGCCACGGACAATGCCATTCGGTTTAAGCCTAAAACTGTCGACCTGGACAAGCTTCGGATTCTGTTGGCTGCCCCTTACTTCTCTCTCTTTCCCACATGGTCCAAAGCCGTGTCCCGCGACCCCTCAACCTGTCCCCAATACCGGATATATTGTGTGTTGTTTCAGATGAATTTCAAGCTTTTTGTCGGAAGCTGTCGCCCTTTGCTAAGCTTAGGAAGTTCTTCGGAATCTGTCGGCGTTTCCCCCGGCGGTTTTCTCACTTTCCCAACCCTGAGGGGTCGAGGGCGAGGGGTTTTGATAAGTTGGGAAAGGGTGGAAAACAGCAAGGGGCAGCCGACGACTTGCGATTCTCTTCCGAACCTTCCTGAGGGCGACAGCTTGAGACCATAACCGAACAAAAGCTTGAAATTCGTCTGAAACAACACACAAGTTATCCAGTGTTTGGGAGGTTGAGGGGTCGAGGGCGGTGGTTGGGCAATGTGGGAAAGGAAGAAGAAGAAGAAGAAGAGAGAGAAGGGGGCTGGAGATTGCGGCCGACAGAATCTAAAGCTGTTCGAAGGCGTTAGCTCGCTGTCTGAAGGTTCAAACAGGTTTCCCGTTTTCGTTTTCCCTGAATTTGGCCTACTTAATAGGGTTCAACTTTATATTTTCTCTGACCTTTTTCTCTAGTTATATTCGCAAGGTTCAATACTTTAAGGAGGTAAAAATAGGTATCAAATTAGATATTATTGATTTCCGGAGCGAAACGCATGAGCTAAGCAAGCACCCCTACTTCGCATGCCAGCCTTAAAAATTTTCCCTGTCCTGGTTGCGATTTTCCCTAACCTTATTACGGTGTTCCCTGACTTCCAATACCCCTTTAAATTTCCCTTACCTTACTATGACTCCCCTTATTTCTCTGACCAGTGTGAACGTGTGAACCTTTCGTTGTCCTCAGGCTGTCGACCGCACTCTCAGACTTGACTTGTCTCTAGTTAAAGCGCATTTTACACAGCAATAAAAAGTACTGTTAATGTCTATGTAAGATTTTGTTCGTTATATTGACCTAAAGTTAGTTTCCATTAGACAAAAGGTCAGTAGGCAATCGACTTAAAAAATGCAAAATAATTAATGAAAATTAAGTTCCTTTAAAGAACAATATTGTACATGGTTACAAAGGAAATACTGCATATTATTGCTGCTTAAAAAACTACGTTACCAAAGGACAAAAGCAGATAATGCAGAAAAAAATGTCCAAACGAGACTGAGAGTGCCCCCCCCCCCCTTTCTTCTTTATCCTTTCCCACATTGCCAAACCACCGCCCTCGACCCCTCAACCTCCCAAACACTGGATAACTTGTGTGTTGTTTCAGACGAATTTCAAGCTTTTGTTCGGTTATGGTCTCAAGCTGTCGCCCTCAGGAAGGTTCGGAAGAGAATCGCAAGTCGTCGGCTGCCCCTTGCTGTTTTCCACCCTTTCCCAACTTATCAAAACCCCTCGCCCTCGACCCCTCAGGGTTGGGAAAGTGAGAAAACCGCCGGGGGAAACGCCGACAGATTCCGAAGAACTTCCTAAGCTTAGCAAAGGGCGACAGCTTCCGACAAAAAGCTTGAAATTCATCTGAAACAACACACAATATATCCGGTATTGGGGACAGGTTGAGGGGTCGCGGGACACGGCTTTGGACCATGTGGGAAAGAGAGAGAAGTAAGGGGCAGCCAACAGAATCCGAAGCTTGTCCAGGTCGACAGTTTTAGGCTTAAACCGAATGGCATTGTCCGTGGCCTTGAGCGAGCCCACGGTGCGGCGAGTGCTTTCCAAGCGTCGTTTGGTGAGCTTACCAACCCTCGGCTGTTCAGGCGCTCTAAAGAGGACGCTGTTCAGTAACGCTGTGCCGCTTCACCCTCTTCTTGACTCCCATTGCGCACGCAGACCTCACCTCGAAAGCAGGGATCATGGCTGGTACGGCTCGGGTGCCGGACATTGAGCGAAGAGGTCAAAAGTGCCGGTTTTCAGGCCCCCTAAAAAAACCTCCAACTTTGACGCCTCACAGCTTCTAAACGGTTTGAGCTACGAACCTGGGCGTGTGCTCATTGGCTTCATTAGCTCTTTTTCTACAAGATGGCGTCAACGGATCGTAGATAAAAAATATTTTTGACCGTTTCCCCAAAGTTTGGGTATTTTCAATAAAATTTGGTCGTTTTGGGTAAGTATTTCTCAAGATATCGGTCGTAGGTCAAATCTGTGACCATATTCTTGTTCCTTGGGCAATTTTACAAAAGAATACCAATTTTCAGCCACTTAGCACCAAAAACCTCACAGTAGTAAAGAAACTCCCAAATTAAGTAAAAAAAGTGGCAAATTTAGAAAACATTGGTTTTCTCGGCCAATAAATTTTTTAGCGACCTAATATTTTAGGATGTTTTTTCTTACCATAAGGGCATCTCAGAAAAAAAAATTTGGTCAAAATCGGAGGGGGTCATGGGAAGGCGTTGCACGTATTAAATAAATTAGCTCTCACGTACTCGAATCGTCGCACCGTGAGAGGGGTGAGACCGGCAGCCCGGAATCGGCCCAAGATCGTTTTCAGCTTTCTTGCAAGTGGAGCACCCCGCTTTGCCAGGAACGGGGTGTTATGAAACGGTCCGGGCACGGAGAATTGGTGAATGCCTTGGAAAGGTGCCAGTCGCGGAGCACACACTGTTAAAAATTCACTGTAATATTACAACACAATCACCTACAGTAATGCTGTTAAGGGGAGGTTCTGGTGAAAATCGTGCCATTTTCCAAATGGATCCTTCAGTCATAATTTGTTCCAAATATGAAATTTTTCATTGAGGAGACTAAAATTTGACTTTTGAAGGCACATGCCAGGCTGTAAACCCAGTCGAAGAGTCTTTTTGAGCCTATTTTGGCTGTATCTTAAAAAATCTCCTTGCGCATACTATTTTGTCGTAAAAGGATGACCTTGACTTTTTTCACTTCTTCGACTCATTTTCAAAAGATTCCGGCATGCAGAGCTCAAAACTTCCATTATAATATTAGTTATTAGCTTTTTAAGCTGAAAAGTCCCTAAAATTTGTCTATTTTGTACATTTTTGATCAATTATAGTGAAATGCTTGGTTAGAAAGCTTGGGAATAAAATTGCAATTGACATTTTGAGATGTGCATGCCGGCATTTTTAAAAAATGAATCGAAGAAGTGAAAAATTTCTAAGCCAACCTTATACGACAAAATAGTATGCGCAAGAAGATTTTTAAAGTTATGGCCTAAATGGGAGAAAAAGGTTCTGCGAATGGGGTTAGGGCATAGAATGTGCCTCCCCAATGAAAAATTTACATAAATACTTGATAAGACATCAAATTTTTAACAAATTTTCACAGTGGGACCTATTTAGGAAAAAATAGCGTTTTCACCAGAACCTCCCCTTAAATAACAACCGTATTGTTTTGTATCTGAACGGGAAACCCATCCAGAAACAGCACTTTCGTTTCATAACAACTTCCTTGTCAAGTGACAATAATGTAATCGTGATTCAAAACAGTTTTGCTGTCGTTGAAAGGTTTCATGTTTAAACAGCTTTGGGAATCTTAAAACATGTATTGTTGTCAGGGTTTCAAGGGTCTTGTTTAATAACAGCACGATGAAAACAACACAAAAATTGGGAAGACATCGTCGAAGACCTTAAAGAAGTATTGTTTTA